AACCTTTTTGCTACAATTTATGTTTTGTTTCTTTATTTAATATTTTTCTTTTGTCTATATTCGTTTTTTTGTCGTATTCAGTGTCATTAGACTTATAATTATATGCTATGCTTCTGTTATTTGTTGTGAAAAATGTAGTTTTTATTCATTTTAATGGATCCAAGACTATTTTGGTCCATATTTGTCCTCCACTCAAATTTTCTTTCTTTGGCCTTCTTTTTTTCTTGGTTACCTTGACCAGATTGTGGTACGTATGTTCGCGTTTGCTTTGTTTTGCTTTCCCTACGGCTTGATTGAGTGGAGTATATGGGGATGATGGTGTTAGATATTGGTGAGAAGATTTGCCTCTTATTCTTTGTATCCACTGTAACTAGTTTGATCGAACTCGTGTCATAGATAGCTTCAGTAGTTAAAAAAATTCATATAATACAATTTGGCATTCACTCGTTGAAACATCTATTCCTCATAGTTACCCGCAACCCTCAGTTCGAATTCGAAAACATGCGAATAAGCATAATCCTCACACACCCCGACATCGTGTCTTGTACTACCTCATAACTCCACTTCTTCAATAAAGGCCTCAGCGCCCCTGTATTCAGGGCTTCTCCCTTAAATAGATTTAGAGCATCTCCCAAAATAATGTTTTAGCCCACTAATTTTCGTTTGGTCGGTAAAGCCATAGTTTCTTGTAGTAACAATCACAGCCTTCCCCCGCCTTTCTATATATGCTTGGAGAGGCTACGGTCTTTTGCCCCTCGTGTGCATTCCAAGTGTGTAAGTGACATACTCGTAGAGGAAAATGAGGTAACATCTATTGACGTGCTAAGTCCTGTCCAGATTCAAACATCAATATTGTTTTTCAATCTTTCAGTTTTATAGCATTTCAATTCTCGATTGACAGTTATATATATATATATATACACTTGCGAGCAACGTGCAATGCACGTTTTCCTAGTTTTGTTTAAAAATTAATTTGTTATTAATAAAGATGTAATTTTTTGGTTAATTAAATAATTAATGATGTAATGTTTATGTAATTGATAAATAATTAGATTTGTGATTTTGATGTTGTGATGTAAGTTGGTGAGATCGAAGAAAATAAGCAAAAGTTGACAAATTTGGAGAAAG